TTACCCAGTGATGGGTCTATGACCTCTTTTTCTAGCAATACGACCGCTCAATTTAAAACCTTCTACCACAATCCCTAGATTTAACCGACGGAGAATGGGAAGTGGCTTTAACAGAAATGATGTATCCCAATTCATTGAAAAACATTACAGAAAAGGAGGCTTATTTTGACATCCTGGTTCCTCAGTCTTATGCTCGCCATATCAAAAACCCCAATGTTTATGGCAGATTTAAAATGAAAACCTTAGACCCAATGCCATTACGTCAATGTCCTGTACTGCTCGATTGGGCCCATATAAACGACCTGCACTCGTTGAACTAGATAGCAAGATGGAAATTAGACGAATTCACTTTAGAACCCGGGCCTTACACTCACCCCAAGGCTTTAACAGAGGAAATAAGTCTAGGACTACAGAGATCATTGAAAAAAATATGGAAAACCCTTGGTGATGGAAATGAAGAAAAATCTATGAAATTAGTATATTACGAGACCTATGATCGAGTGATGTATGAAATCAATGAAAAAATGCTTACTCCCTTATGCATTCGTTTCCCCACATCCCTAGCTTATAAGCTAGGCATGGACGGTCAGAAAGTCATTCTTCAGAACGATACAGAAAACATGACCAAATGGATCAACATTAGTTACTTGGGAAACAGTACTGTGGATTTATATGAAAATCTGAAATCCATGTATGTCTATTGTGACTTGATTCAACCCCAGACGGTAGGCTCCAATGCCTTGAAACTCTTAAGAGTGGTGCCTTGTACATTTCATTTGGAGGATTCAAAACAAGCCAAATGGGAACCCATTCGAGCGGAATATTTGAAACTAAGTAAAAAACATTTCGATACCATTGAGATTCACATCATGACTCCTTTAGGGACTCCCATGCCCTTTGTAAGTGGTAAATCAGTGGTGAAACTTCATTTCAGAAAAGTCTACTGAGATGAATGTACCGTTATTGTGTTCCATCTTATTGGGTGTGGTGGCTTGTCTGGTCTGCTGTCTGTATTGTATTCAGCCGTAAAAGGGTATAAAAGGAAGTCCCCCGAGGATATAAAGGTCAGTTGAACAAGAGACATGAACCATGCAGTATCATCCAGGATTACTGAGACAAAGAGGACACGGTTGGATTTATCATAAAGGTTTATTACGTCAAAAAGGCGGAGCAGTAGGTTCTATCATTTCTGGATTGGTGGGAGCCCTTCCCTTTGATAATATAACGGGAAATCCTCTTACAGGATTATTGAGTAGGATTTTACCTCTCATGAAACCTCAAAAAGGAGGAAATTTGGTAAACTTCCTCTCGGCAGCAGTCCCTAACATACCCCTACCGGGCATAGGCTCTGGTTTGACTCTCAAAGAAGCGACCAAGTTAGCCATGGGGCCACAAAAAGGTCGAGGATTTGTCAAAGATTTACTCAAACATGGGAAACAACAAGCCATCATGGCCGGAGTGAAGATAGGCAGGGATGTGGTGGGAAAAAGAAAAAACATCAGAAATGCTCTTTTAACCCACGGACTCAATGCGGCCAAAAATACAGGTCTATTTGCTTTCAATCGAGGAGTCTCTTTACCCCTTTAGAAAGAAAAAGAAGAAAAAAGGACAAACAGGTCAAGGAAGAAGAAGAAGAAAAAGAAGAAAGCAGACAGGGAGAGGAAGAATCCTGTTAGCCCGAGGGGGGCCTAAGAGAAAAAGAAAAAAACAAGGAGGAATTCCTAAAAGAAAACGTCATTTAGATGTGTTTGACTGAGAGAGAGAGTATAAATAGGACAGTCCAGGGAACAGAAGGTTCATTTGTGAAAACTGAATCCTAGTAGACACATAATATTTTAAGCCCGATTCCTGTGCGTGTGGGATGAACAATTTCAAAGTGTTTCAAGTCCCTCCGACTAATATTGTTTTAGAAGACTCGAAATGGAAGAATATTATCCCATTTCCAGTACTTTAGATTCTGACACCGCCCCCATCGAATTTGAAATTAAAGGACAAGGAGATCACTATCTGGATTTATCTCAAACTTATGTTCAAATGGTATGTAAATTTACCAAAGACGATGGAAGTAATCTGACTGGGGCGAACAGCACTTCGAGTCCCGTGAATAATATCTTACATTCCATGTTTACGGAAATTGATGTCAGTCTGAATGGAAAAATAGTAACTCCGGGGACGGATACTTATCCTTACAAGGCTTATCTGGAGAAATTATTGTCTTACCGACCCAGAACTTTAAAGACACAGACCAGGGCCTGTAGTCTGTGGGAAAAAGATACGGCAGGACATATGGACGAAGTGGGGATAGAGGCTCTTGGTCTAGCTCAAAATAAAACCTTTAATGTAACTCCGGGTGCAAATGGTGGTGCCGACACGGTGACCATTAACGAACCCATCCTCACAGCGTTACCGGCTAATTCTAAAAACAATCTATTTTAAAAAGACACCTCTGTTTTTATAGAACAACAACAACAACAGTTTGCTAAATCATTTGGATTTGTTAATTTTTATATTCAGGTACGTCCTACAATCTAATCGAGCTAGACCCTCTCTTGTTTCTCACATCAGGTTTTAGAACTCCATGAAAATATTCATAGTCACCTTGTCATAAAAATTCAAACCCACAATTCTGGAGTGCATTAAGACATTTCAAAACAGAGCCAAATATCCCTTGAGAAGAGTGGAAGTGAAAACATTATCTCCCATAGGAACCCTGTTTAAGATTACGAACTCCTTCAAGGTCCTACACCTAAACGTCTTTTTAGTTTGTGGGAATGCGGCTTTCAACGTAAGATAAAACTGATAAAATCCCTTTCATTTCCAAAACTTTGTTGACCATTACTAATATCCAATTAGTATCAACGGAGAGACCATGAGTACTCGTTGTTTTAAGTTGAACCATTCATTTCAACGAGGATTTATATCTGAGATCCTATCTCAGTCTGTATGGCTCTGGGAAAATTACGGAGAAGATTGTAGGGCTATATTCTACAGGACATTACCCATCAAAGGGCAGAGTATAAAAGTGGCTACACTGCATGGGGCTGGGATTTCACTAAAGATCAAGGGAGCGCAATCGGATAAATTCCACTTTCCTTCTCCCCAAAACGGAGGTGAGAGTAACTATTCAGTTTCCTTTAATCCAGATTGTGTGGTGTATGCAGAATTCGATAACCTACATAGAAATTAACTGGAGGTGTTATTACTAATGGATTATTGAAGTCTTATAAAAATTCAACACTTTTGGAGGCGTGTATCCTGTAGGCGTTTGAGAAAAAGTGTCGTGGTCAATACGGATCCTCAAGATACCTGGAGAACATTGGGTGTGTCTATATGTGAGCAATCCCGTGGTGGAATACAATTTTATTTCTTTCCTCTTTCAAAAAAGAAATTCAAGATTTTTATCCATTTCAACAATGGATTTATAATCCGTATCGCTATCAAGACTGGAATACCGATGTGTGTGGAAAATATTGCGTGTATTATTTACATCAAAGAGACAAGAAAAGAAAGAAAACCGACGAGTGGCTATTCCCCTTTGACCAGAGTACGGCTTTCGTTTTATCTCAAAACACTTATCATGATCCACTACAGGGTCATGGACAATTTTTTATCAAAATGTATTGTAAATGAGTTGTTTGTTGTTTGTTGGTTGTTTGTTGTTAATAAAAATGAAAAAAAAAAAAACTGTGTTCTTATTATTATTTATGTGTTAGTGTTTTCAGTATGCAACAGGGTATGAGACATAAAAAAATGCAATAGATATCAAAAAGATGATGCAACCACAATTTTTTTTGATGCTATTTCATTGATGCAATAGATATAAAAAGATGACAATAGAATAAAAGATTCAACAACTATTTTTTTTTTTTTTCAGTTGGTGGGGCATGTGGTTGAGTAAACGACAGTTTGGCAAACAATTCTTAGAAGACAGGAGATGGATAAAGATAAATTTATTCATCAAAAGAGAATGACGGAACCGGATCACAACGCTCCTCAACAAAGAAGAAAGGAGTTGAAAACCTTGGATCCGGAACCAAAGAATGAATATTTACCCCTGGATGAGCCTATCAATGATCCCAAATGTCCAGACAGATTTTACAGGACAGCCATTAATTGGACTTTCACCATTAAAGAGCCTAAAGACGAAGAAGATATAGACATGTTTCTGAGCAACCAAGATGATTTCTTCTTCGGTTTCCAGTATTTGATTATACAAAAGGAAAGACATCCCTGGACAGGAGAACTGCATCAGATCAGGGGATTCATTCAAATGAAGGAACCAGAAGGAGGACTGACTATGTGCAGACTTCATATCACTGCTGATTTTGCCATGTCTCACAGTACTCCAGAATTGGAAAGTATGTTTTACAAGCAAGGAGGTGACTATGAAGAATATGGTGTTCTGAAACCGGAGGAGAGAAATAAGGAATTGGAGCCCAGAGATTGGATAGAATGGGAGATAGGAGCTTGGAAGAAACCTGAAGCTATTGCAGCTAGAGAAGCTAGGAAGAAACAGTTCTTAAAGAATGTGAGCTGGTCAAGATGTGAATAAAAAAAAAAAAAAAGATTTGAACTGTTATTTATTGTTAGATCTCAATAAAAGAAAAAAAAAATTGTGGGTTTTTTGTCATTTTTAAAAAATAGGTTATCTCCCTTTAACCATAGATTTCTTTTTTCAAAACACCAAAACAAAAAAGTGTTGAGGGATTTTTAAAGATTGGTAAAAATTGATACAATTTTAAAAAAGGTATAAATAGTAAACATGGTACAAAACACACCTCAGTTGTGGACTGGCTTCATTATGGGTAACACCTCCAGTAAAGAAATGAGTCAGAACACTAGATTAAAGGAAACTGAATGGTTACTTATACAGGAGGGAGGAAAAGATATCATACCACCTCCCTTGATGGTAGAACATCCTGCAGTATTTATACCACCTCCCTTGATGGAAGAACATCCTGTAGAATATAAACCTCAGGAGGAGGAAAAAGAAAACATAAGACCAAACAACAAACTCTTGGAGGATATTAAGGCTCATTATCAAAACAAACAGAAAGAAAATACAGGCAATGGATATATTGCTTACTTAAAACAAGACAGAGGTAGAATAGCCAATAATTGGATATTTAATTTAACTGGGTGCAGACAGGAAGATGTAGATCAAATCATTGGAAGTGATTATCAATACTTGATCTTACAAAAAGAAAAGGCAATATATCCAGAAACTGGAAAACTTATATCATGTGAGAGGTTTATATTCATTCAAATGAAAAACAGAGTTCAAGGGAGATACATGTACAGAAAGATTCATAAATTAACCTGTTTTGAGATGTCTTACAGCACCCCAGAATTGGAAAGAACCTTTCATAGACAAGGTGACTATGAAGAATATGGAGTTCTAAAACCTGATGTGAGAAACAAAGAATTAGTTCCAAGAGATTGTAGATTTACCTGAATAATAAAAAAAAATTTGAAATCTTGTTTTATTGTGTTGTTGTTGTCATAGTCGCCTCCTTGCTTGTAAAACATACTTTCAATTATAAAATCTTGTGAGACATCGCAGAAGTCCGCAGTGATATGAAGTTACAGTAGTCAGTGCCCTTCTGGTTCCCTTCATTTGAATGAATCCCCTGAATCTGATGCAGTTCTCCTGTCCAGGATATCTTTCCTTTTGAAGAATCAAATCTGAATACGAAGAAATCATCTTGGGTTGCTCAGAAACATATTATCTCTTCTTCTTCTTGACTCTTAATAATGAAAGTCCAATTAATGGCTGTGCCTGTAAAAGTTGTGGACATTTGAGATAGTTGGATTAGGCTAGATGCAGGGGTAAATATTCATTCTTGGTTCCAGAATCCAGGGTTTTGAGCTATTTATTATTTTGTTTGAGGAGCTTCGGCATCCCCCTCCATAGGTTCGTAGATTATTTTTGTAATAAGGTAAATTTATCTTTATCCATCTCCATGTCTCTTTGATGTAAATAATACACCAATATTGTCCACACACATCGGTATTGCCAGTCTTATAGCGATACGGATTATAAATCCAATTGCTGAGCATGACGCTGGATAAAATCTTGAATTTCTTTTTGTAAGGGAGGAAATCCATAAATCGAAATATTCACCACGGGATTGCTACATAAGACACACAATGTTCTCCAGGTCAATATTGAGGATCCGTATTGACCACACAGCTTTTCTCCACGGTCTTAATTGATCCGGTAATAAATCTACAGGATACAACCTCCGCGAAAGAACTCTTAGATCTCTGGATAAGACTCTCTCAATTTCCTATCCATTTTTTAGTAATCAATGCTCACTTCTCTCTGTTGTTAATTTCTAATAAGTTATCGAATTCTGCATACACCACAAATTGATAGTGCGAGGATTGTTGTAAATGCACTTTACTCTTCAGATTCGTTTCTATTGATGTAAAGAATGTATCCAATTGCGCTTCTTATCTTTAGTGAAATCCCACCCTCATAGATGTACCGCTTTTAATACTCGTTCTAGGGTATGTCCAGAAACCCAATCATTCTCCTAATTTCCAAGCTGATACAGACTGAGATAGATCTAGATATAAATCGTCGTTGAAATGGTCAAACAACAGTTCATGGTCCTCCTTGATACTACATCTAATTTCTTGATCCCAAAGTTTTGGAAATGAAAGGGATTTTTAGTTTTATCTCCGTTAAAGGCCCATTCTCCACAAAGCCTAAAAGAAGTTAGGCATCTGACCTGAAACAGATGATGTAATCTAGACTGGGTCCCTATGGGGATGGTAAAGGTTTTACTTCCACTCTTCTCAAGGGATATTTGCTCTGTGGGTTTCAATCTATTAATGGTATTCTCATGACTGCTGTGGGTTTGACTTTTCTACCCACAAAATACTCAAATTTTCACTTTTCCTGTACTCTCCTTTGATCATCATGTAGAAGGTTAGCTCGTTAAATCGCAAACGACACTCTTGGGAAATGATCTTGTGAAACAAATCCAAATGTAAAGATCCACAAACTGATTTTCTTAGTCACAATGCTTGTGTTTTGGAATCCTTCGTTTTTAGAATTGCGTAACGCTGTGGTGGGTTGGTTAATGGTCCCTGGACCTTACCGAGTTACATTAAAGGTTTTATTTTGATACCAAGTTAACACTTGTCCATGTGTCTGCGTATCTTCCACAGACAGGCCCTCTGTGTCTTTAAGTTTGTGGAAGACAATAATTTCCCAGAAAGCTTTTAAGGATTACCTCCGGGCCTCATTAGATGACATGATTTCCTAAACATGGAATGTAGATATTATCGGACTGAAGTGTGTCCCAGTCGTTACTTCCATGTCTTGTAAATTTAATACCATTTGAAATAGTTGAGATAAATCCAGATAGTGATCCTTTCCTGATTTCAAATTCATGGGAGGTTCGGAATCTAAAGTACTGGAAATG